GGTGCTTCTTATTTGTTCCTATCCACACTGTCCCCATTATCGAGCCCCCCACTACAGTTAACTTATGCTCCCTCATTCTCCTGAACACAGCAGGCCCCTGAATGCCCCCAGGCCAGTGTGCCAGCTGTCCTCTGCAGTCTTTTCTGCTCGGCAACGCCTAACAATCCTTTACCACCTGGCACAAATGCTACCTGGTTTGCAAAGCTTCTCTCAATTCTTCTAGGCGCATTCTCTCCTCACACACTTAGCATGCACTTCTCTATGTCACTGATCAATACTGTGATTAGCTCTTCACAGGTCTGCTTCTCTCATTAGATGGCTTTACAAGGGTTGGGACTGTGCTTTTTTTAAAATGTTTGCTTTTTTTATTAAAGATTAGCACCTGTGCTAACATCTGTTGCCAATCTTCCTTTTTTCTTCTCCCCAAAAGCCCCAGTACATAGTTGTATATTCTAGTTGTAGGTCCTTCTGGTTGTGCTATGTGGGACGCCACCTCAGCATGGCCTGACGAGTGGCACCATGTCCGTGCCCAGGATCCAAACCAGTGAAACCCTGGGCCGCTGAAGCAGAGACATGGACTTAACCACTCAGCCACAGGGCCAGCCCTGGAACTGTGCTTTTTAATAAATTTTCAGTCCTCCAGCACCTAGCACAAGGTCTAACATAGAGTAAGATCTCACCAACTGCTGAACAAAGGAATAAGTCACATTCTCCTGTGTGATGGTCTGAAAGCTGACAGGTGGCCTATCTCACAGATGAACACCTAAACACTGCTGCTGTTTTCCATTCCTTCATAAAGCACTTATAATTTATTAGTGTTTTATAAATAAAATGGAGTACAGTTATTTATGTTAAGATAATACCATATTTACTGCAAAAGGAATGATGGCTTAGCATTTACACAGGCACAGAATATAAAGGCCCAGCAAGTGACGTAAAACTACAGGTCATAAACATGAAAATGCTTGTGTGGGGAGCCCAACATCACTTGAGAAAATGAAAGCACCAGTGCTCTGTCGTGAGAGGCAGAACACAGGCTGGTAAAGGGTCAGCAGGAGCATGCAATCTGTCTCAGAGGTGAACTTATGTTTCCAATTAAGAAAAAAGTTATTTCACAAATTTAAATGTTTCAAGAGTTCAAGGAAGATATTTTTCCTATAAAGCTAACTGGAATATAAGCTTTCACCTATTTCTATTTTACTATTTGGTTTTTACTTAAAATTTGGCCACTAGGTAAGAGAAGTTTTCATAGATTTTCTTCAATGCGAAAATCAAATTATCTTTAACATTTAATAGAATACTTACTGGAGAGGTCACAAGGAGAAAGTATGTGATAATTAAAGTTTCTTTTAACAAGTATTCCTGAGACCCGCTGGCCTTGTTCTGGTTTTTTGTCTGCTAAAAAGCCCATGACCTATTAAAAAAACAAACAAACAAAAACCCCAAAACAACTTGCAGGAAATAGAATCTTGTAAAATGCAATTAATTATTCAGTACTCAACCATATTATGACCATTTGACATTCAAACTATGAAAACAACACATGAATTTAAACATGAAAAATATAAAATGTTATATACTCCACAACCCGGCAGTAACAAGGCTAGCAAGAGACCAAAGGGAAGAGTTAGGAGGGCAGATCCAGCAAGAATAGCCAGGTTCAGTTCAGTTCCAATCAGTTCAGCAACCACGTAAAGCTACTAGGTGCACAGGCTTAAAAAGCTCTAGACAGCTACAGTGTGGTGGGAAGGGCAGCAGCTCAGGCCAGGACTGCGTGCGCGCCCTCAGGCTAGGCATCGGCCTCGTACAGAGTGAGCTCCACTATACAAAGGTGTGAGGCCATGTAGACCCCACAACAAAAGAGGAGCATCTTTGCATCTTTAGGTCCATAAAGATAAGTAATATCTTATCATTAAAGGTAATATCTTATCAATATCTATCAATAAAGATGGGTATGGAAGAGCTCATACAACTGAGGAAAATTTTTTAGGAGAAGAGGGTGATGACAGTTCAAAAACTAACAAAAGCAAAAATCCTACAAACATGAAACCCAACATTCTTTTTTTATTTTTTAAGATTGGCACCTGAGCTAACAATCTTTTTTCTTTTTGCTTTTTCTCCCCAAATCTCTCCAGTACATAGTTGCATATTTTAGTTGTGGGTCCTTCTAGTTGTGGCATGTGGGATGGCACCTCAGCGTGGCCTGACCAGCGGTGCCATGTCCGCCCCCAGGATCCGAACTGGCGAAACCCTGGGCCGCCAAAGTGGAGTGCATGAACTTAACCACTCGGCCACAGGGCCGGCCCTGAAACCCAACATTCTTAAATACAACTTCCCTCAACTACAAATAAATGAACTCAAACGGGACAAACACAGCATAATTCACATTGGTTTACCTTTCATCAAGTAAGGGCAAGAGCAGCCAGGCAGTAATACTGTTTGTTCTTGTAACTATAATGGGAGAGAGCTCTATTTCACATGGTTTCTTAGGGTCGATTTCTCCTTAAAAGCAGGTGACTTAATGAAAAGGAGCTCTGCTCCCAGGAGGCTGACTTTAAAAGCGTGAAGTCTCAGACGCTGATCTAGTGTGCTTGCCTGCCTGCAGAACAAAGCACCTCAGAGGAAAGAGCGAGGGAGTCTTCTTCCGACTTCACCTGCTGCTGCCAGCTGAGGTTTCTCTCGATTCCAGTGTGTGTTAGTTTCCTATACGCTGATTTATTAACATATATACAGTTAGTTGGCCTGACACTTCTCCAAAGTAAAGTGCATGGGTTTTTTTGATAGTTCTTTGTGGATGTGATTTCCCTGACTTACTGAGTTTCTGTTTTATATGGTTGAGGATGTCTGCCATAAATCCTAAATAACGTTATTACACTTGAGGAAAAAAATAACTAAAGCTAATGATTTTAAATAACTAAAATTATGGCTGAAATAACAGAAAAACACTTCAGTACAAAACTGTATGTGGTGAAATAGTTATTGGTAATAGTTTCTCTGTGCATACATAAAGTTAAATTTAAGAATGACACATATACCTAAAGTGTGTTCTCAGTTCTGTAGTCAAAAAATGTTTAAATGCTGCACACTGTACTTCTTGAGGCTTTATAATGCACAAGGGCCTAACAACTCTGGCAAGTCCTGCTGTAAAGAAACTAGCTTAACTTTGTTCAACTTAGCTTCTCCTAAATTGTCTGACTGTAAAACTTTTTCCTCCTCAAATCTCAACTAGCAGAGTTTGGGAAATTCAGTTCTGAATATATTCTCAACTGAATATATTTTTCTATAGGTGTAAGACCCCTTCCATTAAACTGGTCTCTGGAAAGTGTTGTGAAGAGGAGTAAATACAACCAATTGCTCTTCTTTGGCAGTAAAAGCCTCACAGCCTTACTTTCTCTAATTTGTTTCTTCCCTCAAATTCAACCACTAGAAAGGATATTCCCCAATTTGCTTCCTCATATCTGGTTCATGATGTATTAGAAGAATGCTGTTAAGTTGCTCATTAACACATATCTGATATTTAAAACTTCAGATAATCATTAAAACATTTCCTTTAGAAGTATCTTAAAAAAATTTTAATATGAAGTAAGAATGAAGATTTCTAGAGCATTCCACTAAAATCCTAGGTAAGGTTTTCCTATTTCTTTTTAAATTCTGAAAATATTATATTTCACTGTCAAAAATGCTTAATTCTTGGGGCTGGCCCCGTGGCCGAGTGGTTAAGTTCGCGCGCTCCGCTGCAGGCGGCCCAGTGTTTCGTTGGTTCGAATCCTGGGCACGGACATGGCACTGCTCATCGGACCACGCTGAGGCGGCGTCTCACATGCCACAACTGGAAGGACCCACAACGGAGAATGTACAACTATGTACCGGGGGACTTTGGGGAGAAAAAGGAAAAAATAAAATCTTTAAAAAAAAAAAAAAATGCTTAATTCTTAAAATCACAGATTTTTATAAATCCCATCATATCCACAGACATATATGGGAGACATGGGCCTATCTTTAGATTCTTAGGGAGAATGACAAGAGGTGGACAGAATACCATATTGGATATAGTAAAAAAACAGTAATGAATATTTGTTTATCCTCAGACATGGGAAGGAAAAGTACGTGGGGATGTGGATTAAAAAGCTAGCAAATTCAAGTGCATTAAGATCTAATTTATTTAAAAATTTTTCATGTGAAGAAACAAATTAGTAGAACCAGAAGAAGCCTTAAAAAGCATATGGATAAATTCTTGTAGTAGACCAAGTTGATAGAAATCATCACTAAGCACAGTGTTTTTTTTTATTAAAACAGGTCTGTTCTTTTTAAGAAGTACACATTTCCCTGAAGAGCACACATAATTAGGAGTAGGAACCAGAGCCTTTTACCTTGGCCAGCTTTTCTCCTCTGAAGTTCAAGGTCACTGCTTCTGTATTCCGAGGATTATGAACTTCTATGTGAACTTCATCATTATCTTCATATTCTCGAATCAGGGCTGCTTTCAATCTGGCCATTTCATTCTGTTCTCCGTGGACTAAAATCTACATAGAATAAATTTTAGAAGAGCATAGGGAAACATCTTTAGTTCAAATTAGTGATGGCCCTTATCTTAATTAAATATATGAAACAGAGATATACTTGAAGTTATTAAACTTTACTACTTTTAAGGACCTCCAGTCAATCAAACTTGTATAGACACTTTCATTCTGTTTGGTGTTACAAGTTCCTTAAGTAGAACTATTTCAAGAAAGAGTAAAGAAACTTCTTTTCGGGGCCGGCTCCGTGGCCGAGTGGTTAAGTTTGTGCGCTCCGCTGCGGCAGCCCAGGGTTCGGATCCTGGGCGCGGACATAGCACTGCTTGTCAGGCCACGTTGAGGCGGCGTCCCACATCCCACAACTAGAAGGACATGCAACAAAGATATACAACTGTGTACAGGGGGGGTTTGGGGAGATAAAAGCAGGAAAAAAAAAAAAAAAAAGATTGGCAACCGTTGTTAGCCCAGGTGCCAATCTTTAAAAATAAATAAACAAATAAATCTCTGAGATTTAAAAAAAAAAGAAAAACTTCTTTTCTACTCCAATTTTTGCCACTAATGAGATATGCAACTTTGCGGAAACCAGACTTTTCCTAGGCTTCCGTGCTCATGCTGGTAAAGGGCTGGACGCAGTAACTTCTGTAGCCTCTACCAGCCTCAGGTGCATATGATTCTTGTATGAAACTACTGCTACTCCCACTGTCTCAGAAAACACCCAGTTTTCTTCAGCTTTCTTAATATAAGACTTTCAGAAGAAGCTTTTTATGGGGAAAAAAGACTTCTGATATTTTCTTCTGTTTATTAAAGCAATACCAAATATAATATTTCAGAACCAAATGCAACTGCATTTTAGAGGGTTATTTACAACTATTGTATTAGCTACCAGTCTCTCTATATTCACTTTTATAACCTACACAGTATCTTACAAGAGAGATTATTCTTAACCTATGGACAACTGGTAGACGATTTCTCGCCTGAGCTAAGAGAAGCCTGCCAGCATATGGCCCAGTGGTGAAGAAGCCTAGCTTTGGGCCTGGCTGCTTGAACACAAATCCTGGCACTGTCACTTACTAGCTGTGCAACCTTGGGCAAGTTACTTGACATCTCAGTTTTCTCATCTACAAAACAGTTGTTGGTTGTGAGGAGTAAGCAAGTTGATACTTGTAAAATACTAGTACAGGACCTGGCACATGGTAAATACTCAATAAATGCTAGCTATTATTTACTATTACCACCAATACTATTATTATTTTATCCTGTAGACACACTTTTGCTGACCTGGATACTGAAGGAAGGTAAGCATCAAGCTCAATCCAAGAATTTAACTGACAGCAGAGATACAGCCTGAAGAGCGATGCAATGGGACTGAGGATGAGGTAGTGATACTAGAGAGAAGGGACAACACAGCTTTTCCTCCACGGCTTTAAATCTGGGAGAATATCTGTAAACCAAAGACCCTAGAATGCACCTGGGGGGAGCCTGCGCTGTAACTACATGTGACACGCTATGATGCTAAAAAGTAGGTGAGTGATTTTCTCCACCAAAGAATCTTCTCATTAAGGGCCAAGGGCAAGTATCTGTGAGGACTATCATGCTAGAAAGAACTTGAAAATTAACAAGAGTACACAAAAAGATGCCCAACTCCATTAGTCATTAGGGAGATGAAAACCAAAACCACAATGATACCACTTCACACTTAGTAGGTGGCTATAATTAAAAAAGGAAAAGAACAAGTGTTTGCAAGGATATGGAGAAATTGGAACCCTTGTGCACTGCTGGGGGGAAGGTAAAATAGTGTGGCTCCTATGGAAAACACTTTGGTGATTCCTCAAAAAGTTAAACACTGAATTATCAAATGATCCAGCAATTCCACTCTCAGTTATATACCCCAAAGAACTGAAATGAAAACAGGGACTCAAACAGATCCTTATATGCTAATGTTCACTCGGGCATTATTCACAATAGCCAAAAGGTGGCAACAACCCAAGTGTCCATCAACAGATGAACAAACAAAATGTGGTACATACATACAATGAAATATTATTCGCCATAAAAAGGAATGGAATTCTGTTACATCCTACAACATAGATGAACCTTGAAAACATATGTTAATTACTGTATGATTTCACTTACATGAAATATCTAGAACAGGCAAATTCATAGAAAGTAAATTAGAAGTTACCAGAGGCTGGGGGCAGGAGGGAATGGGGAATTATTGCTTAATGGGTACAGTTTCTGTTTGGGGAGATGAAAAACTTTTGGAAATGATAGTGGTGATGGTTGCACAACACTGAATATAATTAATGCCACTGAACTGTACACTTAAAAATGGTTAAAATTGCAAATTTTATATTTTAACCACAATAAAAAATATGTACCAAAAAAATTTAACAAAAGGCCATTTCCTCTAAATCACTTTTCAATACATTCAGAAAGAGTACTTCAGCTGTTTTCTAAAGACATGTGTCCCACATGTGTTCCTCTAATTAAAAATACTTGTTTTTTTAGCCTACCCTTCTCTCTACTCCCACCAAAATATAACTCATTAATTCATAATTACATGAAAATTAAAAATATAAACAAATCATATTAGTAAGGAGCTATGTAACATACTTCATATCTATTTACATCTTTAATTTTTTACTCTTATATGACTTGTCTTTCTCCTCTTTCCTCATTACTAAGCATTTACTACATGCCAGGCACTGTATTACGTGCTTTAGATACATGTTCTCTCATTTAGTCCTCACAATAACTAGCCTTAATGAGGTACTATTATCCCTATTTACAAATGAGGTTCAGAAAGGTAAGTAACTTGCCTAGGGTTACACAGCAAGTAAGGGATGGAGGTGAGATTCAAAACAAGGAGTCACATTGTAAAGCCTGTGCTCTTAAGTTAATGATGAGGCAGCAGAAAATAACAGAAAGAACACTGGAAAATTAAAGCACAGCTTGCCTAACTCAAAGGGGAGCCAAACAAGTCAGATTCAATGCAAGTGCAAGCACTCTGTTTAAAGGGCAACATCATCGGAAGGAGGTGTTCGATTTGAGGACCAGCCGCCACAAAGTTTCCTGGGTGTGTTTTTTTTCCCCTTTAATGCGATAAATCAAATGCATAGACTAACCACATGAGGCGGTTTCAAAGCACGAATAAATTCACTGGTTTGCTGGTAATCTGTGTGAGCAGAGAAAGAAATGTAATCAACCGACATTTTCAGTGGTAACTTCTGTCCAGACATGGTAGTGATTTCTTCCGGTTCAGACATGATATGCTGTCAAAAACAAAGAAAAATTAAAAAACAAAACAAATTATCCAATTAGAAAAGGAACATTTTCTACTTTTTCACGAGCCATAAACTCTTATGTTAAATTTAGGACCTTTAGCACAAAAGTCATTCTAACACTACTGACTTAGTAAATATCAGATATTTATTTTCTTGATCAAGCAAACATTTAATCAGGAAAGTAACAGATTAACTAAAATTCAATGTATTTGGAGTGCTGGAAGTGAAAATTATAACTCTTATGATTAGAAAGAATACAATACTTGCATTTCCAGAATGCAATACACTTGTGTTCCCAGCTAGTCTCCTGCTTTAAAAAGTCACTTTCCAGATAGGAGGATTTGTATAAAGGACAGATGGAATTCGACTCCGGAAAACTATTTAAGTACAAAGCCAACACTGTCTAAATGACTTACAGGATAAGGTAAAGTAATGAAAATGATCAAAATGGGGAATCATAATGTATTTTAAAAGACAAAATAGACATTATAGGCAAGAAGAGATAAGAACGTGACGAGTCGATGTTCAGAAATTGCCTCTAAAGTTCTGCACGTATTTTCTATAAAGTCTACACCCTCAGAGTAAACATCATCCAATCAATCAACCCAACACATCTACAGCTTTTCAAAAGAATACTTATTAGTAAACCTCTTCTTCATCGGATGAGGGTATCCACGTGTTTGTCTCAGACTCCTTTCCATTTTTTTAACTGCAACCAGATGAGCGCTTCTCAAACTTTAACATGCCTACCAATCACCTGGGGGTCTTGTTATACCAGTCAGTGTCTGCATTAATTCCTCAACCTTACAAACACCTCCAGCTACATATTTCCAACCTTGTTTTGAAAAATCAAAACCTGTATTATTTACAGAACTACTTCAACAGAAAGACCTGTGAGGATCTTACCACCTCTGCAGGTTTGATCAGGAATAACGCAATGGTCTAAGACTACCACTCACCTTGGCAAGTGTCCCTTCTACACAGTACCCTGCTATAATGACACCGTTCCTCTTATCAGTACACCAGCTTTCAAAGAGCTCTCTGGATAAGCCACTCTGCATCATGCCTGGGGAGGCCATTACCACGCTGGGACCAATGTCATCAAAATGATCCATGCTCTGAGAGAGAAAAAGAAATGGTAAAAGCAAGTTAAATACCAGGGCTTGACAAAGCATTTTTAAATAAGAAAGAGTTAGGAAAAAAGATTAATTACCCAACTGAAAGGGCTTGAGAAGACTACTAAACATTTTAAGTCCAAACTCCAAGTTCCTAAACAAGTTAGGCTAGGAATGAAAGGAAAACAAAGTGATAAAAAGGAGAAAGTTCACACTGACCCTCAAAACGTTCTACCGGTAGCTAAACATGCCTTTAGGACCATTTTCAGTGGCTAGCAGGAAGGCAGAAAGTAAAAGGAAGAGTCAAATGGGTTTCTATTCCACCCAAGATAGAACTCTGAAAGAATTTCCCCAAAGACTCACAGTGGCTTTGCATACTTGATGAATATTTTGAGCAGGCCTAGAAATCTAACCAAAAAGTTTAACCTTGTTTCTAGGGAAAACTTGGCTCTAATTCCTAAGTAATTAACTTAAAAAATAATACTATAGGGGGCCAGCCCCATGGCCCACTGGGTAAAGTTCCGCATGCTCCACTTTGATGGCTCAGGTTTGAGAGTTCAGTTCCCAGGTGCGGACCTACTCCACCCAACAGCCATGCTGCACAGGCGTTCCTCGTACAAAATAGAGAAAGACTGGCACAGACGTTAGATCAGGGCAAATCTTCCTCAAGCAAAAAAAGAGGCAGACTGGTAACAGATGTTAGCTCAGGGCGAATCTTCCTCACCAAAAAAAAACCAAAAACAAACTTTACCAACAGAGCCTATTTAAAATTGGAAGAATATTTATAACTTGAATTATTTGGGGCATCATTTTATTAAGATTAGAGCATTAGTTTGAAAGAAACGTATTTTTTTAATTAAAGAAAATCAGATTTTATTGAATGCTCTAGAAAAGTAAACATATACAAATTTTCATATATGGAATTTACAGTGCTAATCAAAAAGATGATTAGGTTTGCATAAGAATAAGAAAACAATATGTAATACAACATATTTTTCTCAGCAGGACTTTTTATTTTTATGACAAAAGAGATCCAACTTATTTAGCAATAGTAAACACTGAGAAAGTATACTTGGAACAAGTTGCGAAGTTTAAGTAAAAAAGAATGCTAAATTTTTGATTCCCTTCAGAAAAGTGATGCCTGCTAGAGAAAAGGTAAGAAAGACTTTGGCAAGAAGGATTTAGCCACAGGGGCTGGCCCCGTGGCCGAGTGGTTAAGTTCTCACACTCTGCTGCAGGCAGCTCAGCGTTTGGTTGGTTCGAGTCCTGGTCGCGGACATGGCACTGCTCATCGAGCCACGCTGAGGCGGCGTCCCATGTGCCACAACTAGAAGGACCCACAATGAAGAATATACAACTATGTACCGGGGGACTTTGGGGAGAAAAAGGAAAAAATAAAATCTTTAAAAAAAACCAAAAAACAAAAAACAAAAAAAAAGGATTTAGCCACAGAAGCAGCAACGGGCATCTCCTACTACTGATGACTTCTTTGTGTTTTATCCGACCTTCTCCTTTCTTCCACAAGCACTCACCTTAAGGTTACTAATATGTTTGAAAACAAAGGGATTGTTGATGTTGATCTGTTTGCGGATTTTGTCATTCATGGCATTTACATATGTCTGATACACTGCCATACACTTCTTGGCCAAAGACGACGCATAGTATATTGGAATATCGTGGAGTTCTGGGTGATTCTGCCAGTACTCATCTAGAGAGATTTTACAAGAAACAATATTGTTTTGCTATGTGCGGTAAATAGTTCAAATAATAAATGATACATACAATTAATTTTTAAAAATCCAGACAACCATGAAATAAATTAAAACATATAACTGGGGGCCAGCCCTGTGGCCAAGTGGTTGAGTTTGTGCACTCTGCTTCGGCGGCCCAAGGTTTTGCCAGTTCAAGTCCTGGGGGTGGACGTGGCACCACTCATCAAGCCACGCTGAGGCGGCGTCCCACACGCCACAACTAGAAGGACCCACAACTAAAATATACAATTATGTACCAGGGGGCTTTAGGAGAAAAAGGAAAAATAAAATCTTTAAAAAACAAACAAACAAAAAACAAATAACTGTATTTTAAAGAAAATTAGCCTGGTCCTTACTAACTTAAACTTATAAAACCAAAACTTATTTCTAAATACTAATGCATGACCTGAAAAGAATGTTGTGATCACACTCCCGAGATGTGAAGGCTTTAAAAACAATCTGGTAGAAGTTTCCACTGAATAATAGACCGGAACTTAGTATCCTAGAGAGACAGTATATTCTGTGGTTTTAAATAAAAATGTGTTAATATTTCAAAAGACTTACTGAAATTAGACTTTTTGTAATTAGACTTTGCTAAGTACAAAACAGGACTACCAAATGAGTTAAAACAAATTTTGAACACTTAAAAAAAAGTATAAATAGTCACATTACACTGTGACTATATTTTTTAAAAACTGCTAACCAAACAGTTTCTGATAATTAATGAAAAGAGTGGGCAATCTACCTTCAAAGGAAGGCTTATTTTTAGGGAAAAATCTCATTAAATCCTAAAATATTATAAAGGTAGTATTGCCAAAAGACATTGATTCTACTAGGTACACCTGCATTTAGGAAATGTATTAAATGCCTAGTATGCAATTTACATTTATTACTTCTAATTTTCAAAACAACCTTAGGAAGATTTATCTCCATCTTACAGATTACAAAACCGAGGGTAAAAAAAGGTTGAATAGCATGGGAATGTTATTTTTCTACTTGATTTATAATTGAAAACTCCAAATGAGAACAGGGACTTTTCCTGTCATGCATGTTACAAATATATTTCCTGCTTTGCTCTCTGGTTTATCTGTTTGCGTTTTTTTAGATGTAATTAAAATTTTTAATGGTGTCAAAGTTTTCATATATACTCTTACAATTTCTCAAACACCCTGCAGAGTATATTATATCCCATGATCACATCAGTCTCCTATTTTTTGTGTGTTTTTATGAATAAATTTTAAATATTTTTAAAAAGTTGAATAACTTGCCCAAGGTCATATGGCTAGATCATAGATGAGATTTAAAACCAGTGATTCTAATAGCTGTCCAGGGAGAATTTAAAGGAAAACGAGCAACCAATTACACAGAGCAATCCTGTTCATAAAAGGAATCATAATATGCTTTGATGGTAGAGTTTCCAGAGAAAAGTACCAAGTGCCCAGCGAAATTTGAATTTCAGACAAATAAAAGATTACTAGTATAAGAACATATATTAAATATTTGATACACTTATGCTAAAATATTACTCATTACTTATCTGAAAATAAAATTTAACTGTCTTGTATTTTTATCTGCTAAATCTGGCAAGCCAATTTGATGGTGACAACAGTGGTTTCACCTTCCTAATTTCCTCTGTTCTTCAGATTACTTTGTTATGGAGACTTTTCATTTCAAGACTTCTAAAGTCAAATTTGACTCACAGTTAGAAAGAAGGACCAAGAGAAAACTAGACTGGATTAGGAATTATAAAATTTAGCTTCTACTAAGTCCTGCCTCTCTTACAGATTTGCTTTTGATCTGTCATTTATCCTCTCTTCCCTTTTCCTTTTCAGTGTAACAGGGATATTTTATCCTTATCATCACAGAGATGGAAGAAGCGACTGTAAGAGCTGAAGACGCAACCATTTCTAGTTCTTCACATTTCAGCTATATACATACAAGGCACCTATCATTTATTCTTTAAGAGTGCGTTCCCTAAAAAGAATCACGGAATGTTTGAGTTAAAAGGGATCATTAAATACAAATATATGCAAAAAGTGACACTCACTGTTCCTCTCATTACAAAAAGTTATACATGCTCATTAAAGTATTTGGAAAACAGAGAAAAGCAGAAAATGAAAAAAGAAATCATCTACTTTCTCATTATTCAGATTTAATATCTTTCCAGTCATTTGTGTATTTTTTTACCTAAGTAGGATCAGAGTACACACTGTTTTGAACCCTACTTTTTTGGCCCACTTAATATACTATGTGAAAATATGTAATTACTCATCTATAACATGATTTTTTTCCTACAATATATTTACTGACATGATATTTCTTTAAAAATACTGAAATGATGAATACTCTTACTGACAAAATTTTCTATGCATCTCATTTATTTACCAGAAGTAGAACTGCTGGGTCAAAGGGTAGCATATTTTTAAGACTTCTAATGCTGAAAGCAACTAGAAAAACATGCCATTTATATTCCTAGTACCAGTGCATGACAGTCGCTGTCTCTCTGGGCTCTTCCTGGCACCAAATCCCTATTTTTAAATGCAAAAACTGAAGACCAGAAGGGCAGAATATCTACCCACGCTCATACAATCATCTTGATGTCATGGCACTCCAAGATATTGACAGTCTCCCAAGTGGAAAGGAACAGGCATACCTAAAATCAAGAGCAGCTCCTGAGCCCTGCCAAGAGCGAAGACAGGAATGAGACCTCTGCCCCCTCTGTTCACAATATCGTGAACCGTGTTACAGAATCTTGCTTCTCGCTCTTCACGCTTCTCGTGGATATGGGTCCCGTAAGTAGATTCCTAAACAACACGTTAGAAGTATGAGACCAAGACTGATGATTTCCCAAGAACACAAAAGGTAAACATCCGTGAAACACAGAAGCAAAGTGATTCATCTCTCCATTAGCAAGCTATTTACTTGAACGTATATTGTTATAATACTAATTGGAAAGCAGAGCAAGTAAAAATGTGAGAATTTAGATTTGGCTAAGTAGTAAGAACTTTTCAGAAAACAGAATTAGGAAATAAGTCCAAAAATGTATCTTCCTTTCTCAAGATAATTTTGCTATGTCTTTTTTTTTCCAAAACCATTTTGCTTTTTGTGGGTTGGAAAAAGGTTATTTCTCCCACCTCTGATAAGTCAAAGTTTATAAATCAGAAACAGATATTGGGGCTGGCCTGGTGGCATAGTGGTTAACTTTGCACGCTCTGATCTGGTGGCATGGGGTTCGCCAGTTCCAATCCTGGGCGTGGACCTACACACCACTCATCAAGCCATGCTGTGGGGCATCCCACATAGAAGAACTAGAAGGACTTACAAGTAGGATATACAACTATGCACTGGGGCTTTGGGGAGGAAAAAAAAAAGAGGAAGATTGGCAACAGATGTTAGCTCAGGGCCAATCTTCCTCACCAAAAAAAAAAAAAAAAAAGCAAGCAAGCAAAAAAAGAAACAGATATTGTTTCTTATAGTTCTATTTAAGAATATCCCCTAAACCTTACTATTTGTGGTCTGCTGACCAGCAGTACTGGCATCCCTGGGAGCTTATTAGACATGCTGAATCTCAGGCCCCAGCCCAGGCATTCTGAATCAGAATCTGTTTTTAACAATATCACCAAGTGATTCATAAGCACATTAAAGTTGGAGAAGTATTGCTCTAAAGTATTAGATATAATGAAAACAACTATTTTTTTCTGAGATTTAAAAAAAACTTCCTTTAAATTAAGGTCAGTTTATATGCTGGGTATACCACAAGCTGAGCCAAACTGAATTCACTCACAACTTGTTGTTTATGGACAGCAATATGCATTGGTCCCTCATACTTGGGCAGTTGGGGGATTCTGTAGATGGTGAGGGAGAAACAGACATCTCTTCCACCTTGAACTAAACATACTTGATATTCCTTTTTCCCTTTAATTGAAGTATAATTGACATACAATATCCTACTCATTTCAGGTGTATATCACAGTGATTCGATATTTATAAACATTACAAAATGATCACCATGACAAGTCTATTTACCATCTGTCACCATCCAAAGTTATTACAATATTGTTGACTATATTCTCTATACTGTATATTTCATCCCCATGACTTGTTTACTTTATAACCGGAAGTTTGTACATTTATACCCCCTAATCCCTTTCAGCTATCTTGCCCACCCCACTGATATTCTGACATATACCATAGGCCCCAAAGGTTTCTCTCCCAATCCCTGACCTCACTGTCTCAACACACATTTATTAATTTGCTCCTCACCAACCTCCCTGTGCACAGAGCTTCTGGACAGTTAACTTTTTTTTATTCTCTAGGACTTGCAATCTAGCAGGCAGACAGGACATACACATATAAATTCAGCAGGTGCTACGAGCCAAGAGATAGTCCCATGGCAAAGGCAGTGGGCCACACCATTTCTACACAACCCCTAAGATGTTCTCCGAATTTGGGGTAATTCACCCAGACAAAAATCTTTAGGAGATAACATATCATCTCTGATATTAGACAAGAGTAAATACATTTAACAGCAAGAAAGTGGAGCTGCATCACAAAGAGAAGCCAGAAAAATTAATTTGTACACTAAATACAGATACATTTATATCTGGTAACATACTATGAAAATGAGATCACGTATTTTTTTCCCACTAGAAAAAATTCTGCTTCAATTACACTGATTACAATACAGTGCATGAATACTTACAATGATAAGAATATCAGGTTTAATATTAGGAATTTCGGCTGCCATCAAGTGTCTATCTTCTTGTCTTGAGAAATCACCTGTGTACAAAAGCTGTGAAAGAAAAAGCTAGAAAGTTAGGATTCTGGAAGGCTTCATTTTACTAGTGAATAAACTTAGATCATAAAGTCTGAAAGCGAAGTTCAATTAAAAAAATAGCCTACAACTGATGAAATTTAGATGTACTGCTTGTGTCTAACTTCAAATGTGTAACGTAGTTCACTCATAAACGATCCAGTGTTTCAATTATCATTCTAACCAGTGGGAATCATATACTCCCACAATCATTCCACAAAGATAACCTGTATATTAATAAACTTAAGAAGTGCTCCAAACATCTTAGAGAAAAACGGCATGATGAGGAAAGAGATCTACTGAGCTATATGGGAAAACCATCTAAAATGGAAGACAAAATCATAGGAGGGCGTGCATCAAATTTCAAAGGGAATTTAGACCTGCATTTGTGCTATTTTCTGCTTATTTTTTTGTGCCTTTGAGCAAAGAGCAAGAATAAATGATTTGGCAATACACAGCACAACTCAATGTGTAAAAATCTCGAATATGGGGCTGGCCCGGTTGTGCAGCAGTTAAGTGCGCACGCTCCACTTTGGCAGCCCGAGGTTCGCTGGTTCGAATCCTGGGTGTGGACATGGCACTGCTTGGCACGCCATGCTGTGGTAGGCGTCCCACAAACAGAGTAGAGGAAGATGGGCACAGATGTTAGCTCAGGGCCAGTCCTCCTCAGCAAAAAGAGGAGAGGAGGATTGGCAGCAGTTAGCTCAGGGCTAATCTTCCTCAAAAAAAACAAAAAAACACCTCAAATATATGAGCAGTCGCTAAAAATTTAGGACAATATTACACTAGAGTGTTGGTTTTCAACTCTGACCGCACATAAGAATCACGTAGAAAACTTGAAAAGAAAAGGTGAAGGCTACGCCCTGAGATTTTGAATGAATCAGAATTTTAAAAAGCTCCCTACGCGATTCTAAAGCGCAGCCAGAATGAAGAACTGCTGCTCTAGTCAGTCCCGAGACCCACAGGCCACCCGTGTTTGCACAGGTTTCTCAAGACGCCCACTAGTCTTTCTCACCAAGGACGTCTAAGACCTTCCTGATTCGCCCTCTTCCCTGGTGCAGTCCACCCTCTTTGGGGGCTTACATGTGGATTCTAAAGCATCAAGAGGACATGAATGCCACATAGTCGGGTTTGAATGTTAAATAGACACAGCCACAAAGAAAGCTCTTCCCTAATCAGTTTTCTAAATAGCACTGAAAAGGGATTAATCCCCTAACAGTGTGAGGGAACTTCACTCTTTTGAGATACTTCTTTTCTCTTTTCTCAACCTTCACCTAAAAAGTATTATAATGGAGGTATGAACTATGATATTGAAAAGGAAAAGCATCAACTGAATTTTATCTGATGTTTCAGTGTTTTGACACCCTGCAAGTCTTCTGGAATTTTCCTTAGTACTACTTCGTGGCACAAGGCTCTGCACTGACTTCTCGCAGGGAGGAAACTGCCAGGGCTGGAGCGTACCTTCACGCCTGCGATCTCAATCATGAACATGGCAGCTCCCAGGACGTGGCCCGCGTGGTAACACCAAAACTTGATTCCTGCAACTTCCTTAACTTCGTGAAAGTTGATGGTTTCAATTTTGTCCATGCTCTCTTCCAAATCTGTCTCAGTATACAGCATGTCATCTGCTGATATATTGCTAAATTTGTAAAGATGCCAACAAAGAGAATTAAGGGTAAGCTTTTTAAAAACTCTTTGAATGCAAGGAAACTGTCTGTGGATGATATATCCCCAACGTTCGTTTTTGTTTTTAAAGATTAGCACCTGAGCTAACAACTGTTGCCAATCTTTTTTTTTTTAATTATTCTCCCCAAAGCCCCCCTAGTACATAGTCGTATAATCTAGTTGTGAGTGCCTGTGGTTGTGCTATGTGGGATGCCACCTCAGCATGGCCTGATGAGCAGTGCCATGTCTGTGCCCAGAACCTGAACTGGTGAAACCCTGGGCTGCCAAAGCGGAGCGCGCAAACTTAACTACTTGGCCATGGGGCTGGCCCCCACAACGTTATTTCTTAAAATTATATTGTATGGATTACACTATTTAGAATCTCTCGGACATTTTGTTTATCTTTTTACCCTGCAATTACAATAAAACTGTTTAGTGTGTACAGCTACAAAGCATGATTTTAAGCAGAGCACACAGTAAATTAAGGCAAAGTCCTCTTTAGGAAACTATTTCTCAACCTTTTTTCCTGTCCCAACACTCTTGAGAGATAAACTCACTC